ACTTCTGGCTTCACCATCTGCCAGGGAGGAGAAGACAGAAGACGGTGGGGTGATATAATATTTAAGTCTATTTTAGCTGCAGTGATGTGTGGTTGAATTCTGATCCCAAGTGGTGGAACCAATTTTGATAGATTTCGAAACAGGTTTTCATATTGAGGGTGGAAAACACAATTGAACGCTGGATTAGATTTATTTGAGTGCAATTTAGTGATATATTGCAGTGAAAGTTTAATGCGGCGCAGTTCGAGTGAAGGTTCGTCGGCCTCCACATACAAACTGTCCACGGGTGAGGTCCTAAAAGCTCCAAGACAAAGTCTTAGGCCTTGATGGTGTATAGTGTCCAATTTTTCTAAATTGCTTTTGCAGGCTCCACCATAGACAATGGAACCATAGTCCAGTTTGGAGCGTATTAATGATCTGTACAAGTGAAGGAGGGTGGTCTGATCCCCTCCCCACTCGGAATTTGAAACGACTTTCAACAAGTCGAGAGCCTTCAGGCACTTTGCCTTGAGATATTTAATGTGTGGTAAGAATGTGAGATAACGGTCAAATATGAGGCCCAGGAATTTGGCCTCCTCTACTACCTTGATAGGAGTACCATCTAAAAATAAATCTGGATCCTTGTGAGGTTTGTATTTACGACAAAAGTGAATACAGTTTGTTTTGGATTTAGAAAATTTGAAGCCGTTTTCGTTTGCCCATTTTTGAATTTTGTTAAGACAGAGCTGTAGCTGTCTTTCTATTGTATTCATATTCTTACCACGACAAGAAATGTTGAAATCGTCCACAAAAAGTGAACCATCAATGCTATTGTTTAATACTTTAGTGAGACTATTTATTTTGATGCTGAAAAGGGTGACTGATAGTATGCTGCCTTGAGGGACGCCTTGATCTTGATCAAAATGATCAGACAGGGTAGAGCCCACTCGTACTTGAAATTGTCTGTTGTTTAAAAATTGAGATATGAACTGAGGTAATCTGCCCCTCAATCCAAATTCATGCAAATCTTTTAAAATACCATGTTTCCACGTTGTATCATATGCTTTCTCTAGATCGAAAAAGATTGATACAGTATGTTGTTTGTTGACAATGGAATTTTTTATAAACGATTCTAAACGCACCAAATGGTCAATGGTACTTCTGTTTTTTCGGAAACCACACTGGATGTCACTCAGGAGGTTATTGGTCTCCAGGTACCAGACTAATCGATTGTTGACCATGCGCTCCATGGTTTTACAAACACAGCTAGTTAATGATATTGGACGGTAGTTGGATGGATCTGTATGATCCCGTCCTGGCTTTGGAATAGGAATAATAATAGCATTGTGCCACAAAGAAGGGAAATTTCCGGTTGTCCATATTTCATCAAATATACTAAGTAACGTTTCCAAACATGAATCGGGCAAGTGTTTCAGGAGCTGATAGTGGATGTTGTCGGCTCCTGCTGCAGTGTCATGAGATTGCCCTAGGGCAGTATATAATTCATGGAGTGAAAATGTTTCATTATAGTCCTCACCATTATCAGAGTTAAAATTGACTTTTTTCTTTTCCTGCTGTTTTTGAAACCTCTGAAATTGAGGATTATAGTTTGATGATGAGGAATGATTTGCCAAAGTGTCACCAAGTTTGTTGGCAATTTCGGATTTAGTAGTTAAAAGGGTATTACCATCTTTAAGATGGTGAACTCCAGATTTAGATCCTTTGCCCTTAATCTTTTGAACCATGTTCCACACCTTGGACATAGGTGTGCGGGAATTAATTTTTGAAACATAGTTCCTCCAGGATTCACGTTTATTCTGTTTAAAGGTACGTCTCGCTTTAGCGCCTGTGATTTTAACATTATTCAAATTGTGGACAGTTGGATGTCGTCGGAAATATTTTTCAGCTTTCTTCCTATTTTTTCTAGCTTGTTTACAACTATTATCGAACCATGGTTTACGTATATGAGGGTTTGCAGAGGACTTAGGAATGCTTTCGTCTCCAATAGCATTCAATATATCTGAAAAAAGTTGTATAGGATCAGGAACATTCCTGAAACTTTCGGGTTTTAGTTTTTCAGAACATAGTGTTTGGAATAAAGACCAATCGGCCCTTGTAAAGTTCCACCTTGTTGAAGGTGGTTCGTCAGACGGATTTACAGTTGTAAGTATTGTTGGAAAATGGTCGCTTCCACAAAGGTCATCATGGACCGACCATTCGAATTCATTTAAAATGTTTGAATCTGTCAGTGAAAGGTCAAGGGCAGAGTATGTGCCAGTGGCGGGATGAAGATATGTGGTATTACCATCATTTAAGATACATAAATCATTGTTTGAGATAAAATCTTCAAGGACTTTTCCCTTATTATTTATGTCAGTACTCCCCCATAGGGGATTGTGACCGTTTAAATCGCCCATGATGATACAGGGCTTCGGGAGCTGATCGTACAAAGTCTGAAGATCTGATTGACGGATAGTTGAGGAAGGTGGAAGATACAGTGAACACAGTGTAAACACTATGTTCAAAGTAACACGGACAGCAACAGCTTGAAGAGTAGTGTTAAGTGGAACAGGGCTATGGATTATGCTCTGCTTCACCAGGATAGAAGAACCTCCTGTAGCTTTATCACCAGGAGGGGAAAACGAGTGGTAAGAACTGTACTGACGGATATCAAATAAATCTGTGTGTTTCAGATATGTTTCTTGGAGACAAAAAGCTGACGGTTTAAAATCTTGGATCAAAAGTTGTATTTCATTAAAATTCTTCCTAAGACCTCTGCAATTCCATTGTACAATATGTTGTGGATTCATGGTGGGGCTTCCACAGGAGAAATGTCACGCGAACGTGAGGAAGACTTTGTAGTACTCCTATCGGTATCATGTGGAGATGGAGTTACCTCCATGTCCAGAGGACCAAAGGAGTTATGGACCTCTACTGGGACCTCTAAAGGAGAGGTGGCCTTTGGTGTTTGCAGCTGTTTTTGCTGCTTCTTTTTCAATAATTTCTTTTCCCTGTTTGTAAGTTTGGTAATTTCTGGTTCTGGTTCTGTTTCGGGTTCATGTGTTGGTTTAGGAGTCTGAGACTCAACATTTTTTACAGTTTTGTTTTTGGGAGGAGTCACAGACGAGGGTGTCACAGCTGGTTTATGGAGTGAAGCAGTCGGAAGTGGCTGAACAGACTTGACCCATGTGAGATCAGTCTGGCAGTCGATAGAGGCAGTAGTGACAGGAGGACGGGAGACAGCAGCAGAGTAAGAGAGAGTGGAAGTGGTTGAGGGAAGACCCACAACCCTCTTCTTAGCTTCGTGGTACGAGACATTTTGTTCTGTCTTGACTTTAATAATTTGGGACTCGCGTTTCCACACAGGACAGGATTTTGCAGAAGCCATATGGTTCCCACCGCAGTTTGCACACTTCATATCCTTCCTGCAGTCAGTGGCCTCGTGTTTGTCACCGCAGCGGTAACAAACAGCGGAGGCATGGCAGGACTTGGATCCATGTCCAAACGCTTGGCAGGTGTAGCACCGGAGTGGATTTGGGATATACACCTCCACTCCGATGTTACAATAACCAGCTTTGATAGATTCAGGGATAGTAGTTCGGGCGAAAGTGAAGAGGTAGGTGTTGGTCAGTTGGACCACACCATCCCTCTTTACAGTGAATCGTTTGACAGCTGTGACGGACTGTTGGTCAAGTTCCTTGGCTATATCGTCTTCGGACATGTCGGACAGGCAGCGAGCTCTGTCACGGACAATGCCCTTACACGAGTTCAGTGTTTTGTGCACTGAGACAACAACTTTGATATTGACAAACTCATTTAAATCGAGAAGATTGATAGATTGTTGTCTCCGTGCACATTCTACAAGGAGAGAGCCAGAACGAAGCTTTGTGACATTTGTAACCTCTCCGCAGATACCAATGATACCTTTGGAGATAGCAAATGGATTCAGTTTGATTGGTTCTTTGTCTAAAGCTTCTATAACCAAGAAACGTGGCCAATAGTCGGATCGAGTGGGCGTAGTATTTTCAACAGTCTCTATATGTCGTCTTTTTGAACCAGGGTGATGGGAAGCCATGTCGAAAGGAAAATAATTCAGCACCCCTTTTCCCTACCCACCATGGAGTGTCTACAAGGACAGTCTTATGCTGCAGCGGATCTCCAAACTGCAAAGACCGGGGATAAAAGGGTGGTATACTCCAGCAAATTTGACACGAAGAGCTATAGCATTCTACCAAATTAAAGGTCAGGCTGGTTCGGCCCTTGACAATCAATTGGAGAAGTACAGAATTCGGAGGTCAGCATCACCAGATTGGCCCATGAGCCACCGCCTTCTGGGCATAGGGCTCTAAGCAAGTTTTATACATTGATAGATATGATATAGACAGGTGGAATAGATTTATTTTTAAATACCAAAAGTGTGCATGAAATATTTTATGCACAGGGCATGACATGACCAGCCGATTGATAGAATCGGGCCCATTCTACCTCCCGTCTAGGCAAAGTTAGGGTCGAAGTGGTGTGTTGGACTGAGGAGCACTATTGCCGGCTCCGTCAGATGTTTTATGAAGACTACATTATTAGTAGTAAGGAAACTAGTAAATGGTAAGAACAATGCCCAAAACCTCCCTTTGTGGTAATAGGAATGTCTGGAATGTGGGGAATGGTATGGCACATCTGGTCTGTTATGGAATGTCTGGAATACTGCAGAATGTCTGGAATGGTATGGCAGTCCACATCAAAAGAGACAGCTAAACCTTCAAAGATAGAAGTGACGTCGCAAACCCAGGATGTAGTTGATAGGGCTGAAGCATCGCAAAAACCAAAGCTATTAAAAGGAAAGCGGGTGACAAAATTGTCACATCTAAGAAAGTACGTCGCGCCGGCAAGACGAACACAGCAACTCTCAAGTTCAAGAACAGCCCCGCTGTTGGAAAAGAAGACATATTCATAGACTAACCATGTCATTGTTGACAGAAAAGAACTTTACAGAGGCGTTGCCATCAAGTTTAGACCTATTCGAAATGCCACCTTATCAAACGAGCATCAGTCAACATTACAATGTACGCCCCTTTACATCTATCACTGACGGTAGTCCTGTGGAATTTCTTACCTCTAATGGTGGAAGTGACTACATAGATCTGGGACGAACTCGTTTACATGTCACATTGAGAGTCACTCATGAAGATGGAAGCATGCTGACTGATAAAGAACATGTAGGTCCAGTCAACCTGTTCAAGCAATCTCTCTGGTCTCAAGTGGCTGTGTATCTGCAAGGTCAGTTAGTCAGTTCTAACAATGGTGGCTATCCCTACAAAGCGTTCATCCAAACGTTGCTTGGATACGGTGCTGAAGCCAAAGACAATCAACTCCAATCGCAACTGTTTAACAAAGATAAAGGTGAGACTACTGCTGACTTTGATTCTAAAGATCCATTGGGTGGAGGAAATGTGCCACAATTTGCCCTTATGTCTGGAGCTCCTGGAACAGAGTACAAAATTGAACTGCAAGACGTTTACCTGAAAGTATATAAGCTGAAAATGGATAACGCACTTGTTCTTGTGCACGCAAAACAGTTTGAAAACACCAATGCTCTGTATCCTTACATGAAAACTGACATTCCTCAAGCCAGTATCAGTGCATCGCAGATGACTTACACCTTTGACAACTTGTTTTTGGACCAATGCCCATCCCGTCTTGTTGGATTTGTCAGTGGTGAAGGTGTGAATGGGTCATATACCAAACACACGTTCAACTTCCAAGGATCCAACATTAAAACAGTGGGGTTGTATCTGGATGGTGTCAGTGTCCCAGGACGCCCTGTGGAGGCAGACGACATCGAAACCTATGTCAACTTGTTCGAGGCTACCAACATATGGAGAGAGGACAAGGGCAACTTTATTCAAAAACAGAGTTTCAGTTTATCAACACCCTATTCGTCTTCAAATTAGAACCGCTGTCTATCGGCGATAGTTACCTGACCTTGGTAAAACCAGCCAACCTCAGACTCGAAATTCAGTTCAAGACAGCACTGAGCAGTCCTCTCAATCTACTAGCTCTGTCGACCAGCTCCGCGATGTTCGAAGTGGATAAAGTGAAAAATGTATTTGTGAAGTAAAACAAGCGTCATGTGTGGTCTTCAGCTACAATGTGCTATTAACAACGACCCTGCAGGACGCCTCCACACGCTTATATCTATAAAAAGACAGAAACAAAACAATAGACATGACAGAGTGCATTTACCAATGTTTTGATTTCCTACAACTGATAAGTAAAGCAGTACCAGCTCAGCGGAGAGTCATTCTATCTCACTTAACAAAGCAGCAGTTCAAGGCTTGTCATTACACTTCTTTACAATGTTCTGATAGGAAATATTCCACTAGAAGAAGCCGTTAAAAAGCGACTACATCGTTACAGACACATCATTAGGACAGTACCAAGTAAAACGGAAAGTAACAGGTTGAAGAGACAGCTACTGGCATCTCATCACTACATCATACCACATTGTGTGTCGACATTTGTCAGGTATTTGGAAGACGAACCGTCTTAGGACTTCACTACAGATGACGACACCGATGATACTACTCTCACGGGAGGCCTATCAACGACTGATACAGAAGAGGGACACCAGTCCTTCAATCTACAGCACACCTACAAGCGATACTGAAGTAGACAGTAACCATCTACCATGTCACGACACAGAAGACGTTGTGATCATGAATAGTAGGTTTGAAAACACAAATACGACTGAAAACAAAAGGGATGATTTTCAAACTTGTGATACAGTCAGAACTTCACCAGTCAAGGAGAAGACAGAATCAAGTCAGCTAGACTCTCTCGTACACGAGGTCAAGTCGGGGAAGCTAGTGGCTTTGTGGCAATTTGTGAAACAACAACGTGAACTCGCTCGTGTCTCGTGGAATTCCAAACTCGAAATTATTGACGACCATAGCCAATCTGTCACCAATTCAAATGTAATCGACTTAATTCGTCATGTTATCTTGTCAGCAAGAGAAACCATAAATCCAACTATTGGGTACAAACAATTTCAGAAAATGTTGAAAGATATTAAAGGTCCCAAACCCTTCTTTCATCAAATGGGTTATGGAAAGAAGAGAGTCAAAAGATCACCTACTTCTCATAAAATATATGTTCAAAATCAAATCAAATATGGCATTCCAGGCGTTAAAAGACTTAAGGCTTTAGAAGATATATAAAACTACAACTGTGGAGCTAATAATAATGATATTGTTGTATTCACAAAGACTTTGAACTATATAGTTGTCATTTATTTCTATTTTTCACTTATTTCACTTGCTCTTGTTTGTCTTTTCATTATTAAGTAATAATAAATCATAGATATGACTGTACATAAATTAAGGTACAAATCTTATAGGCGATAGCTATATCATATTTATAATATTTAGAAATGAAAAGACAGTAACCTCATTATAAAAGGGAAATAGCTCTGAAGATATGCGAACAGAGTTATGTGTTTAAACTGATCTTATCATGTGTATTTGTCAAAATCTGTATTATCCAGATCCTCATATAATTATTAGTTTTGTTTTTTTATGGCTTTTTTTAAATTTTTGTTCGTAGAATTTGAAACCCAATTAAATTCACTTTCTGTAGTTCTCATATTGCAGTTCATTTGAAATAAAAAATATAGTTGACAATTCTACGTCTGTTTAGTGTTTAATGTGTATGAGAGATGGAAAGCAAATTGGAGAGATGAGAGGGAGATGGATGTGTTCGAGATGGAAGGGGTTGTATCAACAGCGACTGTTATAACATATTGTTCTATGAAAAGTCTTGCTTTTCTTTGTTTATTTTAAAACATTTCATCGATATCCACACAACATCATGACAATTCCACCTTTTTATTTAATATTAATTTAACATAAACACTTTGATCTTTCCAAAAGTTCCTTGCGAAAGGGGGAAAGGACGTGTGTCAAAGGTCAAAGATAACACTAGCAAGCTCTTTACATTGCTATGCTTTATGTTTTCATAGCAAATGTTCAGTGTAAGGAGCTTGTAACTTTCGCGCCGAAGGGTAAAGAAAAGATAAGATGGCAGGCGTATTCTTCTTAATCGCGCTGCTGAACTTCACTCCAGTACAAGGGCAGCAAAGTTTCGCCGATGGATGTCCGCGAGGGGGGGTTATAAAGTGCGAAAAGAGTGACAAACCCTGGGTTCATCTGAATGGCAGTAACTATGCTCAAACCTTAAAAATCAAACTCCTCGGAAACAGCGATATCCTCATTGAGGGGAAATTATTTCCATCCCTCATCTCTGTTCAGGGTGGAAGCGCCTCGTGCGATTCTGTCATGAAGCCAGTCAGCATCACTGAAGTCAATGGAAAAGTGTGTGGTAAGAATCTTATCAATTTTTTCAAACTTATCCTATCTCACACTATGCATTTTCTCTTATTCTTCGATCCTGATTTGGAAACGTCCTAGAATAAAGTTTCCAGCTTCAAAAACATGAGTCACCCCAACACATCCAATACATCACCAAATCACCACTGTGATCATGGGTCATGCACCAGTGCAATCCCGTGCTGCACGACCCCAACGATCTGATCACCTGACATATCCAGCACCCTAATTCTCATTTCTATCGCCTGAATGTTAAGACGTCACTTGAACAGAGAATATTTTTTTTAATTTTTTTTTTTTACTTTCACAAATTAAACTAATAAACGATATGGAGTCATCACGTCCCCTCTGCTCTGACTGCCAAAGTCTGTTTTCCCCTCTTGATCCCCACCTCAGTTGTTGTGATTGTCATGGGGTATGTGAGATTGCAACACAATGTACACAGTGTGCAAACTTATCGGAATCGGATTTCAAAACTTACCTACGCAGGTGCTCCAAACGATCGTCTGATCGTAGGTCCAAAGCATCTAAGGATTCAGAGCACGGCCCTTCCTCCGTAAAGAAACCCAAGCGACAAGTAATATCTTGTGTGAATATGCCTTCATCGTCTTTCAAGAAAGGGAATAAATCTACTAAATCGACAACAATTACTTCGCTTTCCGTGGAGGAAGTTTTGCTATCCGATTCGTTTTTGAATGCTGACATTCCCACTTGTAAACGGACCACGCCCCCTGCACGTGACGGCTCGATGTCTCCTACAGTCGTCCCGCTATCAACTAACCACCGGACTGTACTGTCGTCTAGATCGCCGTGACTCGCCAGATCGCCGTGATTTACCTTTATCGACAAGTCGCTGTTCCTTGTGGGATTATCTTGTCGTCATGTCACCAGATCGTACCTCAGTTGATCCACAGCTCCCTTCCTCTACAGATCGAAACCTGAAGGATCGACACCCTTCTGCTCATCAACGTATCGACTGCTCTACAGATCGACACGTTGTCCCAGTGTGAAATCGACGGTGAAATTAACCGTTTTTACGACTTCGCCTACCCGACACAGGGATCGTCATCGTTCACAAGATGATAGAAGACATTCAAGAGAACATCATAGGGATGACAGTCGTCATAGGTCAAAGACTTATCCAAGTTCTACTCCTTCTACTTATCAGGATTATCAGGACTATAATGCAGGAAACAGTCATATCACATCGGATTGTAAAGATTCTCCGGTTCATCCTCGGTCTCAAAGGGATCGATGTTGCCAGGGATCTAGATCCCGTTCTCCTTCACCTCTACGACCTCAGCACTCCCATACTATGAATCGCATGACTCCGACTCGAACTTTCAGACTCTGGTACACGCGGTGTGTAAGGCGCTTGATCATCGTAGCTTCCCATCAGCCGAGACTCCTATCTTACCTACGCCTTCTACTACTGCATACGGTGATCCAGTTTCGTCAGCCTACTCTCATGGTGATTATGATATAGTGGATCAGACGGACATGCTATTTTGGATTGCTGATAAACTGGGACTTCCCCGCAGTACTACTAAGGAGGATCACCGGTCACCGGTCCCTCATCGTAAACTCTTACCTTACCACCTAAACAAGTTTTCACAGATATGAGTAAGAATTTGGATATTGCCTTTGCTCCTTTTTGCGGCCATAGGGACAAGTTACTGACTCCTTGCTTTACCTACACAGACACTGGAACTCATCTCTACGACCCCAGAACTAGATAGCGACATCCATAATATCACTCCCAAGCGTTCTACATTTTCTGCTATTGTGGAGGACAAAGAATTGGCTCATATTGACCAGACTATACGTCGCACGCTTCCCTTCTTATCAACCATACTCTCTACTACAGAAGCTGTTGCCATGTCAGTTGCCTGCGCTCGTTCATCAGAAGAAGCTCATATTCGTGGGCCATGACAAGTTTCAAGAAGTAATGGACCTCCTGTCCCATTGTATGTGTTCCCTTACTACATTACGTTGACGCTGTATACTCCAGGATGGCCCTTGGGAGGACCATTTTAAGGCATGATTGTATCAACTCCCTTGGTCTTTGCCTTTCCTGTTCACCAATACGATTCACACTGTCATGCAAGACTTCACTAAGGACACACAGCTGCAAGTTTCCATTGACCTTCTCAAACTCCATAAACAGCAACTTGAAGATCAGCAGCGCCTTCGCTGTAAACCTCAGTACATCTCAGCCCAGAAGGATGTGCGCAAGGCCTACAGCAATCGATGAGGTCTCTTTCGCGGCAAGGGCTTTCGTGGATGTGGGACCAGATCCACCCCTTCCAGAACCGTGTCCTTCACTACTGGATCTGCCTCGGGTGGGTCAACCAAGCCGGTTGACTCTTCCCACAAGTGACTTTGTTCGGGATCAGCAAGACTTGGTCCTTCAGCCACATGTTCCACACTCCTGTAGGCGGAAGAATTTCTTTTTTTGCAGCCAACTGGACTCTGCTTGGCGACCCCTTTGTAACAAGGATTTTGACAGAAGGACCGGTACAGACTCCAGTTAACAGCTCTGCCTCCGGTCACTCTTCATCCCAGGC